AGTCATTGACCGGGGCAGTTCTAGAAACTATAACTTTCACTCTGTGGGATGTGACTGTTGCGATTCGGCGTTTTCGTCAATCTTATAGTCCAGGCCCTGATGGTGTCCCAGTAAGCATTTTAAAAGCCGATGCAAACACGATCTTCCCATCCCTCTTATGCAAGATATTTAATCTTGCTCTTGAAAGTGAAACTTATCCTACCTTGTGGAAGGAATCACACATTTTGCCCATTCCTAAGCACGGCAAATCTACATCATTTGATGACTTTCGGCCAATAAACACCCTCCCTGCAGTTTCGAAGATCTTAGAGAAATTGATCAAGGATAAGATGATGTGTCACTTAACAGCGAACAATTTACTGAGTGTTGCTCAGCATGGATTCCTCAAAGCTCGATCTTGTGACACCTGTCAACTCTCTTTCTTTGACTATGTTCTCCAATCTAGGGACAATGGTTTTGCTCTTTACACAGTATATTTCAATCTCACCAAGGCTTTTGACCGTGTTGACCATTCTCTTCTTCTCTTGAAACTGTCCTCTTTCGGAATAGGTGGCAAACTTTTGAATTTTATATCCTCTTATTTGGGCTCTCGCACACAACGAGTTAAGATTTCCAATACCATCTCCAACCCCACACGTGTGAGGAGTGGAGTCATTCAGGGTAGTGTACTCGGCCCGCTTTTATTTTGCCTTTTCGTTAATGATGTGCCCGATTTATTTCAGAATGGTAAGCCTTTCATGTATGCGGATGATCTTAAAGTTGCATATCGATATAAGCCGGCAGATCATGACATCGTGCTTGAGCTCCTAAAGAGCGATCTACAGGCTTTCACCCAGTGGTGCCGCACATGGCGCCTTTCACTTTCTTGGCATAAGTGCTCAGTCATGGTGGTTGGCGACGACCGCCAACCTCAACTAAGTATTGAAGGTCACGCAATAAATGTGCCAGGGGTTTTAAAGGATTTGGGCTTATCATACTCCAAGAGTCTCAATCTCTCGGAGCACTGTGCCTTGATAGTCTCCAAAGCACGTAGAACGACCGGGTTTATCCTCCGAAATTTTAAAACTAGGGACATTAGAATGCGCCTTTTCAACATGTACGTTAGACCTGGCCTGGAATACTGTTCGTTTTCATTTAGCCTCATGCGTGCTACTGAGCGGAAGAAAATAGAATCCGTTCAACACTTTTTTACCAAGAGAATTTTAACCCCGGAACACCGACATTTGTCTTACCAAGAACGTTGCCGGCTTACAGGCCTCGATCCTTTATGGTTCCGTAGATTACAAAAGGGACTATTTTTGCTATTTAAACTCTTATATAATCACACATTTAACCCACTCACCTCTTTAAGACATCATATCCACCCACGACGTAACAGTCACCGTGAGGTCTTCTTATTTCTGCCTCTGGCACGTACTGTTAAATATCGTCGGTTCTTTTCTGTAAATGCAATTGCTATTTGGAATAAACTACCGAGGAATGTAAAAAAACCTACAAATTTATCCTTTATTTAAGAGAACTATTACTCGATTTTTGCATTCAGAAAAGCTCCCACAAATTTTGGGTGCTGAATCTACTGATCGACTGTACCGTAGCGATGGCGTTTGTGGTCTCTGAACACTATGGCCGGTCTCAACAGCTGTTCCTCAACGCCTCTACTTTGACTATCCCCAACTTCATGAAAGGAATTTGACGTCCGATAATCTCCGATACCGTGCAACCTCCCCCCTTCTTGACGGTCGATATTCTACCACCGCCGACAGTTTTTTTCTCCTGAGTCCTCCAAACCACAAAAACCACCATCAACTATATTTTTATGCCTTAAGCTCAGGAGTTTTTTTTTCACTGCTGGTCGGATTTTTGTTTAATCACTTCCCTTGACAGTGCCTGTAAACTGGCATTAAATTAAAATTTATTAATTTATTAGTTACTACGTTTAAGTTTATTTTACACTCAACATATTAAAATAAATGCGGAAATAAATAAAGAAAATCTGGAAGAGGCATATAGTGAGCTGTGATTCCCGTTTGACTCACTCATTGCATGAAATTACATTTCCTCCTCTTTATTTTGTATTTCTTGCTCGGTCTCCTTCTTCTTCCTCTTCGAAAAACCAATACTAACGTCCGCAAGAAGAGATCTAAAGTGTCTTTGGGGAATTTCAATTAAGTCCGTTCTGCATTCCTACGCATCGCACATTAAACCCATAAAATATTGTTGGTGTTTTTAAATATTTCTCACCCTTTCATATACCTACTTATGCGGTTTTGCGTCACAAAAATGCTCATTGTGCTCCATTTATGCTAGATAACAGTCTTATTTCTATGCGATCAGGGGATACTATCAGTGTTGTCAAAACACTTACATGAATGGAGAAAACGTGTGCAGTGTGATTAACCTAGACAATTTTTGGAGGTGGTTTAGGAAGAGCTTATTGCGCTACGATGGCCACCACGCCGCACTGTAGGTATAGGGGTTTAGTAGGCTCGACGGCAAGTGATACTAAACTGCATCATTGAGAAGTTGTCTTTTTAGTATTGTGGTCCCCTGGTAATAATATTGACGCGCACATTTGTTGCTACCTGTTAGATGTCGTTTTTACTCTCGAGCACACGAAAGACATCGGAATTAGTCGCAAGACTGACACACCAAGCATGGCTTAATCAATATACAACCCTCCCATTTTCGGTACTGTTAAAGCCCCGTCCATCATGATGTTCAATGTTCAATACCCTAGTAGTATCACGCCAGTTGTGTGTAAGGAAGAAAACGGAGATGATAACAGAGAACAACTTTGCTGATACAACCATTCCGTGTACATTAACTCTTAGCCCATCTGACCGTGGAATCCTAATTAAGGCTTCAGGCCTTGGCCGGTTTGCGTCTTCCTACAGGTCCAGCACTGAGTGTCCGCATGGAGAGACCCCCACGTGTTTTGGACCCGCCAAGGTCGTGCGCAGCTCGGCGGCTCAGTAATTGTTGGTTAGCGCGCAGGCTTGTCAGGCATTACCACCAGACGACAAGAATTATATGACAAGCTCTGGGCCATTTGAACAGTTATCATTAGAAACACATTAACCTTGATCGACTCTGCATCTCCCACACGTCAAAATGATGTGTCTCTGGCGAATTAATTGCTCTGGGACTAACGAAGCAGTCCCTGAACCACCAATATACACCATACGCCAATTTCCATCCGCCCCCACTTTCTTTGCTCATTCAGTTATTGCATAGGCCTACTCGACTACATGCGCCTCAAGGAAAATCTGCAGTAAACCACCATTGACTAGACCACGTCAATATGCACTTCCCCAACAACTCAAACATCACATGTTAACACTTCCGACATCTTAGGCCAACAGCACCTCTCACTTAAGTGGGAAATGTACTATTCGGCTCTTCCCACCCGTATATGAAATCCGAGGGGCTTGCCGTCATGTGTGTGCATCTGGATAATCAGGTTCTGAGTATGGCGCTCGTAGACGACTTGTTCCTAGCTCTTTCAGCCACCTCTTCCATCTCGGCATTAGTTGGTAAACCGGCTCGGACAGACGACGGGCACACGGACAGGGAAGGGCGAGTAAGGCCGATTCCTTGGTGCACAATTGCTCAATGCGCTAAAAGCCGTGGTTTTGAAGGTTGCTAACCGGCGATCCAACACAGCCCATGTAGTCAGCCCAGTTGGTGTTTGTGAGTTGAGTAGCCGATTAGTGGACTAAGATTGAGAACTCGATGACTCCCTCATAATGGCCCTTTCACACATTTGAGATCCGAGCCGTCGGCCCCATTTCAGTCGTAATACTTTTGTGTGCTTTTGTTGACCAGGTCATGCTCGTGGCGCAAGCAGATGGACTCCGTGGTCCCGTCGGACACTTCGTCCACACTCGCCACCAAACACAAAAGCGGCTCAGCCAGTGGATTGGAGTCTGATGGTGGCAAGAGCTGGTGGTGTGGACGGTCTCCGCGCAAATTCTATATTATAATAAAACTGACGCGCTTGAAGCTATCATGGTGCGCTAAAGCCCTGAATTGGAAGGCTGCCAACTATCAAAGTAAATGCAACTTCTATATTAACACAGTGCACGTCTGTGTGGAATGGCCGATCGATGAACTGAGAATCAGACTGAATGGCCTCTTCATAATGTGGCCTCTTTGTCGTCCCCAGTCAGTGAGATCCCATCAATCGTAGTGGTAAGCGCTTAGGTGAGGGTTTTCGCCGTGTCAGTCAACTGCGCCCTCCGCCACCTCCAATCTTCTTCATTCTGCCGCGAGACTGGTCAGTGATGGGAAGAGGAGAGTACGGTAGATATTTCACAAGTCAACTATCACTTAAAACCAATTCAAATACCAGCCACCATCCCTGCCCTCACTCTCTAATGATGTCCATTAATGACATCGTCCGAAACGATGGTCGAACTGCCATAAATCAACGGACACCATGTTTCGCACCCATTCAGAGTGCAACGCCAAACGTTCACATTTACCCGAGACTGGAAAACAATTAAGTATCTTATTCCTTGAGAATCTTGCACGTTTCCCTTTGTCATGTCAGGACTTTTAAAACGATGATATGCATCGAAACCCAGAGCTGTCTTGAAACAAATCTGTACATAGAATTTTAAAAAACCAAAACTCGCATCCCGATTTTGCAAAACAATACACCAAAAGCAGCAGAGACTTTGCCAGCTTCAAAGAGACATTTCCTTTTCATAGGGTCGTATTTAATTGCCTATATCCCCTCGCTTCTTCTAATTTGGAGGGATCCAAATGTTCGAAAAACAACAGTTATATAAAGGGTAATGTGTGTATGAATTTTAATTTACCTCGGTCCTTCTATTAACCGTATAGTCAAAATATTCTGTTGTTCTTGACAGCCGACAAAATCGTTTAAATATGTCATTTTAATGGACTGCAAATTTCGTTCGGCCATCTCTAGTTCAAGGTCACGTTCTTATTGGTCGTGGGCATATTTGGCTGTTTTACAAATTGTCTCTTCCTTTATGGACACCAGCGGACAAACGCCCGAAGCTCCACGAGACCCGGTCTCCTTCATTAAACAACCAAGAGTGATTATTAAAATTGCTTGTCTGGTAGGTGCTTTTGGTCCTCAGACTCTTCGCGGAGTTTATTCTATGGGTGTCAACAAATGTAATTTCACAATCCCTTAAAAAATAAGTGGAATATTGAAGCTATTAAAGAATGTGTGCCTGCTCTTCATATCTTGGGCAGCTAACAGAACATCTTTAAATGTTTCATCTATGAATAAATTTTATATTCATGGCAACTGCATTCATGGTTTCATTTCGTTAAAAACTGAAGATACATCGTCGTCTTGAGGATATCTTCAAATATATTGGAACATATCTGTATTCTAAGTGACGGTTTTATGGTCCCTTTTACAATGGAAGTCATTTTTTACATGTTAATAACCTTGAACGTCATAATGAAGCAGTACGCCGTTTCATATACACGAGAACTTTTTTTAACATTTTTTACTGTAGTTTTAATTACAATTTTTGGATATTCTTATCTTTGCAATGCATCTGATTTTGTCAAGTTTATTGACGTTTGATTCGGGAAACAAAGGCCGGTGAAAAGCTCCTCACTGCATACTTGCCTTTTTCGAGTACAGAAACTCGTCAAACTAGTGCAGTTTCTTAAGGCATTTCTGGCATTTTTAGTTATGGAATGACCGATAACTTTTTTGATTGGTGGATGCCGCTTTAGGAAAGTATATGGCAGGATAAACATTTTGCTTATTTGATACTTTTCGCCAATTTTTACGAATGCATTGGCGTACGTATACGTATGCGTACAACATATTTCTGCCCAGATACTGTACCAGTCTTAGGAGCTAAGCTTCGACTGAACTCTCGAGGATCTTCTCCGCCGTTGCTTTATTTTTTTCTGGAGAAAGGCCATGTCAACCTTTTGTTAATTGAACTTATTCTTTTTTTCATTATCTTGTTAGTTTGGAATGCCGTTTTATTATCTTACAACCCTGCATAAGTACGGCCCCATACGGCTCATCTGTTTTCTCCTTGAAACGTGACAACATGAACTTCTTCCTTTAGAGCAGCAACTGTCGAATTTTGCTGCACAGAGTATGCACAAGACGGGGATTTGCGTGTGAACTGGTGTTTAGTGAGTCTGACTTACGCGGCATATAACTATCTTCCTACTTCCTCGTCAGCTAGTCTGTGATAACAAAACAATCTTACGGGAAACCGCGATTGTCTTGGACGCAGTCGCTAACCATGCTTAAAATTCCCTCTATGCATGCCACACACCATTTGGTTTTAGTAGGGACGACTAGGAGTTTCTATGATTGAAAGTACAATAAAGTTTACTTTAAGAAACAGTCATCGTGCCCTGATCTTTAGTTTTCTATTGGTCTGAAAATACCTCCATCAGTCAGCGTCTATCCGAAGCAAGATCTTTAGCGCATCGACCTGTAAAACAGCTGGTGCTGATGCAAAAGAAAGGCTTACATCTGTTGCTCGTACGGATTTTTTGTAACCTAACACTGGGTCAGTCTGGCATCTGTTTTAGTCTAGATTATCTGAAGCGCAGGTCGTTGCGATGTCGGCAGCATAATTACGTGAACATCCGGAATTCTAACTATCTCATATTGGCCAAACGTGCAACCCCTTACTCTATGGCTCCTTAAATTAGTCCCAGTTATTAGAAGAATAATTCCAGCGGTTCGCGTTATTCCGCTACGCCATCGATGACCTTGGTCCTTCTCATTAAAGTATCCAGCTACTCAAAAGATTTTCTACGTAAGTTTCAAATAAGTAATATCGATACGGATTTCCTTACTTGTCGTCAAACTATATGTGATAGACTACATTCCGCACATTTCACATAATCAAAGACTTAAACTACCAACCAGAATAGAGATGCTGTTGTCATCTAACTCAACAGCATATCCTGGCTGATTGGCAGAATGAACTGTCGTAAAATAAAAACATGATATTGAGGGAAAGAGAATGATAAATATCAACGTGAAACATAACTTACTCAGCTAGAACGATTGAAAATTAAACTCTTTTAATAATTTGAATTTTAAACCGAACTTCAGAGGTTAGTGTTGGATAAAACCCCACATATTTCAGGCTATTGCAATTTTGGATTATATCAGTTAATCTTGCTGTTCAGTAGCCATTTTAGATTTTGAGTAATGATCGGGTTCTAGCGTCTGTCCGCTTGCGGATGTGATGGAAAGTTTATATTTCTCCCAGATATGTGATGATAGAATGAACGCGCTCGTTAACGGTATACCAGGTTAAACTTACCGTTTGACAGCTGGCTCATGCATAGGACATCCTCCTCAAAAGACATCGTGAACCGAATCCGTCGTTGCTGTTTTATTGCCCAGAATTACCGGTATACAATACGGTGCAGTCCCCGCAACGCCCTCCTCTACCTTAGTATTTCGCTTGTTATCCAGTATTAGCTGGACCCTGACACGCGTTGCCGTGGCTCAAGCCCATGAATTGGGAAATAAGGGAAAGAGGAAGGGGCACGTTCCCAACTGAGAAAGATATAAGGGCCACCGGTTGGCGGGATGTATTGTGTGCGAAACCCAGGAGTGTTCCTCTAGTCACTGTCGAAGACAGGTCAATTGTTTGCTGCACCCGGCCGCGCTCGAGCGTTCTGGAGTAAGTGGTGACGGCGGACATTTATTTCGCCCACTGTTGTCGATCGAGAAATTACAGGCAGTGTGTGCCTGAAGTCTGCTGCAAGCAGTAGCAGTGCATAGGAAATGGTCTGCTGTTTCCTCGCAAATCCCGCAGTGCTCGATCAACGGCCTCGAGCGCTTTCTCTGGGCCATTGTGCATTCATTTCAAACAATAAGTTTAAATTGCTTCAGTACTTTTCCCATGCCGGATGCTTTGGAAATGTTACACGCGGGGGTTTCAATGAATTGCGCGTTCAAAGGCAATTTCGAAGCTGAATGAACGGATTTTCTGCCGGGTAGCAGAGTTGCAGCTATTCCGGGGATGCAAGTGCTAGGGCTGTGTCATTTACTGGATCGAATTGCCGTCAGAATCGGTCGTAGTAGAAACGTTTTGCCAGTCCCTCCTGGCGCGCCTAGGAAAAAGATTCCTCCAAACCCCTTATTGACATTCCGCATTATTTGATCTTAAATGCCATTTTTCTCCTGTCTTAGCTTAGGAATTTTTTGATTGCAAGCATGGCAGAAGTTGAACCGTGTTACATTTTTGCTCATGCCGCCAATCTACATCTAACGAAGCAGCAGCAGATTGGTTTTCCGGTGACATTCCCAGTTGACTAGGAACTTTGTTCGCGATTTCTACTTACATATCCTCAGTCACTAATAACGCCTCGCTGTAGATTCCTGCTGTGCGAGCCACATTTGAATTTTCCTTGCATAGTTGACGGAAGATATCTTTAGCCATGTGCGATTTATATTTCTCCCGCAAAACTGTTGGAGACTTAGGAGAGAATGCGATCAATATGACTGCAAGCAATGCATGAATTTGATGTGAATGGGACTTGATGCAGACGTCATTAATACATACGTCCTACTGTTGATCGTTCTCCAGTAAATGAAGAGCCTGACACGCACTGCTGAAAGTGGCATGCGTAACGCCGTTGATAGATTTCAGTTGCTGGAAAGACGTTCGACGTGGCACATTCATCAACACCATGCGAAGTAAGATTGGGATGCACGGTATGCAGTCTGCCTACCGCAGTTCTTTGAGTATGCCAGGGTGTCCCACCACTCGCTCTCCTCGTTTGCGTCGTTCGGATGATTTTATAAACATATTCCCTGTGTAATACGTAGACACTTCTGAATACGACAGCGTTTTAGCAAATGCGGCAGTTTGGCTTAACGTGGAAAACGCAGTTAATGTTGTTGCCGGGGGACCTAAGGCAACCTGTTGCACATTTGCAGCTGTAAAGTAAACGCATTGCCCATTCTCTAACTGTACTACAAGTTTACAACACCTGGACTTCGCTAATGGAGGAGGAATGGAAGAATTCGCCACACGGATCTGTTGCAGTTGACGCATCTTCCAGCCAAATACTGTGCGCTTTCATCGAGTCGTATGTCCGCATCCCTTTCTCTCGTTTCGTTTTGCAGGCCGAAAACGGCCATGTCGCTGCCTATATTTACATACTTACAAATGCACCCAATTCTTTTCCCGGAATTGCAGTTTTACACGTTTATGTGAGCTGCGTTTGCTTCTAAAAGCAAGGGCGAACAGGACACAACGCAGCGGTTATCGACTTTATGCCACCGATTCGCGTTCGTACGGTCTCCAATTTGCCGACGTCTTCCGCTGATCCTTTTCCGTGTAAGGGGCTTCCGTTTTAATCGAAAGATGTGTTGCAAACGAATGCCCGAGGATATCTCTTAGGGCATTTTCCGTCTACCATGCCGGGGGGAGGTGCGGGGGGTGGGAGAATTGGGATTTAGTGCACCTCAAGTTTCATGTATCATATTCTTCGTCACAACTTCATGCAAATCGTTGTTGACATCGACGTCAGGTAATTCATCGCGTATTGCATCGTCGATTTCGACCTTTTTATAGAGCCAAATGAAGACATGTGCATGGGCCAGTACCCTCCTTTGCCGTTCCACCTAATACATCCAGCAACGCACAGACCCAACCACCTCGTGCTTCACCATGAAGTTCATCAGCGATTGCAGTTTCTTCCTGAAAATACGTGCAGTGATGTAATACCTATGCACCGGCGATAGCTCAGGAAGTAACAGCTGATAAATATCCCCCCAAGCTGGATTGCATGTGAACGTAATGAGTAGGTCTGGACGCCCGTACTGACAAACGTAAGCAATTGCACCTCGAGCGCATTCGAACAAATGACGTGAACTGTCTGTATATGTGGATGACAAAATCGTTATTCTTACAACGTTAGGTGTATTACCGTCGTTTACAACTGCATCATGCAAACGAATGTATTCTTTAGAATACAACTTGATCTGATTTAAGCGAATGAAAAGCAGGCGTTCTGTTTCGTTTTTTGCATACATATCCACAATGCAGTAATGAAGCAATTGACGGCATGTCAAAAGGGGGATTACGTACACTCCGCCAAATCATAAGTTGGTAGGAGTAGTAGTTCATTGCGCTGCATTTCATGTGCGTTACCTCATCTCTGACTGGATTTATCATCCTAACGTTGAAATGATATCCACCGGCACCATCTCGAAAAGTAAATGGATACTGCGTTAAAATCGGTCTCCGACTAACGGTATATGTTAGATGGCAAAATCGTAAGCCTTCCAACGAATGTTGTCGTACCGTCATTCACAACAGCATCACGCAAATGAATGTGCTCTTCAGAGCGCAGCGTGAATGCTGAGCACGGAGGCGTGTTGGACACTGGTCCGCTGTTTATCGCTGGCGTCTTTCAGCCACTCTCAGCTTGTAATTTTCATTCTGTTGAGAAACGGAGCAGACCTAAAGCTGCAGAACGCGGTAGTCGTGACTGCAACCGAGCTTCCTCAAGCCGACCTGCACGGCACTGGGATGATACTGGGTGACAGTCCCCTTATGTGGGTTGTGCGGGGGAGAGGGTAAGGGAGCTTTGTAAACCGCATCCAGTCGTCACGCCCGAGAATCCCAGCGGAAGTGTTGACAGCCCCATTATGTGGGTAGTGTGCGGCAAGCTCAAGTGAAGCCCAAGGGTTGCATTTTTTGTTAAAGGGTGGGTAGTTTGCCTACCGGCCCAGATTGCATGGGTCCAGACGTGGGGGGCATGTTCAAGTGTCTGCAGGGTGAGCGGAGGGGTGAGCTCAGCCATCGGACGGAGCCCATGCGTTTGAGCGGATGCCGGTCAAGGGGCTCGACGAACGCACGTGTGTCCGAGTGGCTGCCGGTCAAGTGGCCCCAGCAGGTGGCATCGTTATGCCGGAAAAAAATCTGGTTTTTTACCCATCACAGGCGTACCATCGCATAATTACAAAGGTAAGCAGAAAAAAACCAAGCCGTATGCGCGGGCAAGGCTATGTTCAAATTTCTGCGCAATCGGTGCAGTACTTTCCGAGATTACTTATAACACGCAGAAAAACCCTTCCACATATATAGGCAGAATGGTATTATCGACAAAGACAAGGGAGACTGGAATGGCCATTTCTGGCTTATTAGCCGTCGTCAGCCAGCCATATCCAAGCCCGAAGTGTGGAACACCCGAGCTTCGAACTCGCGACCTGTTGGTTTAGAAGTCCACGCCTCTACCCACCGGGCCACGAGCCCGTTGCCCTGTAGGTTTTCGATCGGGAATATACAATGTTAGGGGGCGCTCTACGATCGTTCATACGGAACTCACTCGTTCCGTTGTGCCTTAAGGGCTCTCGCTCTCGAGCCCAACCAGCAGCTAATAAGCCAGAAATGGCCATTCCAGTCTCCCTTGTCTTTGTCGGTAATACCATTCTGCCTATATATATATCAGAGCGGATACGACAGAGTCTGGGGGGTAGATTGATACAGCACTGTTTCGGGCTTGTTTGCCTTCATTCAGCCAACCATAACCCTGACCACCAGCTGGGACCGGAAACACAAACATGCACATATATATATGGGCATTATATAGGGTCACTAATTAAACCCATTCATCGGCATGATTAACTGCTATCTCGTAGGCTTGCGGAGACATTAGTCTACGAAACGTAGCTGCTGGCATGCTGTGGTATAACGGGAATGACTGGCACGACCTTTCTGTCATTCACCAAATGTTATAAAGAACAGTCAAATCGACCCCTAATACTATAGCGGCGTTAATGCTATTATTGCTCGTTCAGGGCATGCCATCTGTCTTTTTCGTTCGTGGAGATTCCTCCTCATCTGCGATTTAATGTGCACATGGCACTTTTTCGAATCAAGGCTCTCCGCTACAATAATAAGGCATACTGATGGCTTGTACAGGCGTGCTAAATGCGAGGGTCACTTTAAGATGCACTGTAGATTTACCGACTCATTAAGTGTTGGCTAAAATTCTGAAACGCATTTGCAGATTTTTTACTTGAATGAAGGGTATAGTTTTATTTTAAAAACTTTTCCAATTCGCGAATAATTTGAAGCCCTATCTGCCGTTACACTTCCATTCAGGGTTCCCAATCCGCAAGCTGTATATTTTCCGTATACGGGAAACCATACTTTCCTAAACACTGTTAAAAGGAGACCGTGTGTGGTTTATAAATTATTGCAGGGGGTAGAGACATGTTGTAAACCTTATAGACAACATTAATAAATGCAGCGACACGATGTGGTATGAACGGGCATTTCATAATCTTAAAATCTCATAATTAGAAGCTTTTGAAACTAGATTATCTCCTTCCTTTAAGTAAAAAATTTAAAGACGATGTGATTTTTTGCCAAATGAATAAAAGAACGAATACTTGTACACGTATGTCTTATGAAATATATTTAAATTTATGAGGAAACCGAAAATCGAAGAGAAAAATTCAGATTAATTTCTCAGTAACTTATACAGGGGTTCAGAAAAACTTTATTTCAAAAGGCGGCGTCCCAATGTAACTGAAGTATCCTGGGATTATGCTGCAGGGTAATTAATATTACAACCTTACCTAATTAATATTTTAATGTCAAAACGCATTTCAGGATGCTGGTTAACATTTCATGTGTTAGCACATTTGCTGTATAAATTAAAGTTATTCACTCGTTAGCAGAAGTTACAGGTATTTTGCGATCAAACACAGGACCTACTGCGCTACATCATTACTTGAAAATGGAAGGAAAATGTAGTTGGAGTTAATAAAACTTTTTATCCGGAATGAATTTATCCAATCCTTTATTGTTTCTGGAATTCGCATACATTTGCAGGACAGTATGTGCCAGAGGCGCAAATTTTGATGAGTTTGTCCTCCAAAACGTTCTTGTCCGTGGGCAGATTCTATTGGTGAAAAAGGAATAAGATAACCGACGGCTCACTTTATATGTTCCTTCATCAAAGGTAGCATGCAATTTTAAGATTTTCGATTTTTTTCTACGTCTGCAGCAGTGACATTTTTCGAGTTTTTACGTGCAAAAACGCCCCAGCAACTGGCATTCTCCGAAATAATCAGCTGTCATATCAGAAAATTGGAAAGTTGGCTTCTGTTTACTTAGTCCCCTATATTTTCTGTCTACTGTCTACGTTAAACTTTAGACTTTGGTTCGATAGCATGGACATTTTTCCTAGCCTAAAAAATGGCCTGAAGCAATATTTCTCCGGAATGAACTTAAGGCAGACAAAGACGGCAGATTTTATTTGAACCATTTAATTTTGCAACGGCTTATCAGCTGCAAGTGAAAAATATACAGATGTTTGAGCTTCGACAGAGAAAATCAGTGTAAAACGGCAGTAAAACGTATAGCATACGATGATCTTGCTGTTATACATTGATTTTCTCTGTCGAAGTTCAAACCTCCGTATCTTTCTCACTTGTTATCTGTGTTATGCAACGACAAGCTGCAGTTGATAAGCCGTTGAGAACTTTACTGATTCCAATAAATTTCGCTGTTTATGCCTACTTTAAATAAAAATGGCTGTTCAGAAACAATAAGAAAGCCAGTTTTATTGCGTTTCCGCCGCAAGACGTTACTCATTTCTACGCAAAGCACTTGTTATTTTTAATTACATTGATGTGCCTTTGCCGGGCGGCCACCGAAAAGTTGTCCGAGGGCATGACGTGTCATTGTTTATGAGATTTTAAGAAAAATGCGGTCCGCATTCAACTCTTTAAATTCCATATGAAAAGGCTAGTTTTCACTGACAATTCTGAAAATTTCCCGAATGCCGCAGCAGATTTTTAGCTTCGGGCAAACTCTGGAACGTTTCTGTTATTCAGTTCGAATGCTGCTATGAGCATCGGATGGCCCATTCTTTCGCAGGAGCTCGATTTTATCTATTCTGCGATGGTTTGGATATCCCTTGTTGGACCTTGTATTATTTTGGTCTAAAAGTCTAGCTGTTTTTGGCAACAACGCCGAGTTCCCCAAGCCCAAAAGGACTATAGTGCAACCAAAAAGTGTTTATTTTGGTTTGTGAGCGCTGAAATAGATTTTGGCCGCGCAAAAACCTTATAATTTTAAAGTGAATGAAGAACAACGAAACCTCTCTGCATCTCAGAGCACACATTCTTACTGACTGCTTTTAAGATTAACCTTAAAGGACTCGGTATAATCCCACTTGGTCTTTGGGCATTCGCTACAGTGCAGTATTAAAATAAAGATAATTTCTCCACCTTCCTGTCTTCAGTTGATCTTTTGCGTCTGTCATGACAAAAACCTGCGTGGTTTTCAATTTGCACAGAAGCACTTGAGCGGAACTTTATTCTTAGCCAAGTTACGCGACATGCTCGCGATCTTGTGGCGGACAAAATGAAACTTTGCATTCTTAATTTCTGCTTAATGGCACTTATTTGAGCTGTAATGGCAGATAGACATTTTTACCTGCCTTCGACAGGGCGGGCCACACACCAAGCAATAGACTGGTTTGATGGATGGTTTATGTCGTTTTTTGTTTCCGTCGCAATGGATTTGGAAAGTGCCGCAATGCCAAGTTCACTGGGGTTTCTGATTTTTGACAGCGCTGTAAATTATGCATGCCTTTGAGTCAATTAAAGTTGGATGGAACTTGTTTTTGTTGTGTCTGGCGTTTATTAAGAACTGGGACCCAGTTTTTTAAAGGCCAATTATCTATGAACTCTAGCACAAATACACCTAAATACTTTTAAGCTAATTTTTTCATTAGTCTTTAGATGGGAGTAGGTGTGTAAGGGCAAAAAAGGCTGTTCAAGTAAAATGATTTACTGATGCCTATTACGCAACTAAAACCTTCCATTTTATACTTACTAATAGATTCACATTAGGCAGAATGACATTACCGACAAAGACAAGGGAGACTGGAATGGCCATTTCTGGCTTATTAGCCGTCGTCAGCCAGTCACACGCAACCCCGAAGTGTGGCACACCCGAGGCTCGAACTCGCGACATGTTTGTTAGAAGTCCACGCCTCTAACCACTGATCCACGTACCCGTTGCCCTGTCGGTTTTCGATCGGGAACGTACAATGTTAGGGGGCGCTCACCGATCGTTCTTACGGAGCTCACTCTTTCCGTTGTGCCTTATGAACTCTCTCTCTCTCGAGCCCAACCAGCAGCCGCACAGCGGCGCATGATATAGACTATTAGTTGCCATTTTGGTCGAATTTTAGACCAATTTATGCATTGTCTCAGAATTCTTGGTATCAGATTCATAGATCTAGGTTATAGAAAACCAGAAAATAAAGCCAAATCCACATAGTTTTCAAATTTCAATACTCGTAGTAAAGACTGCTGGAAAATACATTGAATTCTACTCGAAAGGTTCCTCTTCTGCATTCTTTTGTCCGAAACTAGCTGCCACTTCGAATATTTAGCTCTTGTAGATTAACACTATTTCACTCCGACTAAACAAAGGAGGTCTGTCACGACGTCATGCCCTTTTGAATACCTTCCAACGACGAAAAGGCAAAACAGTTTGAGGTATAAATTGGAAGTGAGCATCAAGTACACGTACTTATATGAACAACAATGCTGTTGCAAAGGGCGTTATTCTGCCGAGACTCCGATTAATCTAAAAAGCAGCGTCATACCTCATAATATATTTACGGTGGTCGGTGGAGTGCCACCAGCCTCCCCGACACATCAAGTCCTTCCACAACCTCGCTGCCATATAAACGGTCTGGACAATTCTGTAGTTTGCGGACTGCTCATTCACGGACCCTTTATCTTTCTTGTCAATATCCTATTCATTTTCATAGCCGCAGTAGACCCGTCTAGAATTTCGTAGGAAATTTTTACGAGCAAATGATGCAGAGAACTTAGAGCAGAGATTTTTAGGTCGGGCTCTGAATGCCATTTCGTCATTAAAATAAGCCATTGGTATCATTGGGATGCCAGTAGCACGCTTATTCACTGATTTTCATGATCAAAAGTCCTTCCGAAGCCAAGCTCAGAAAACTGTCGTGTTTCCTTTATCGAGTTTTCAACGTGTCTGCGGAGGCAAAACCAGAAATGCGTGCTATAGCCCTCTCCTAGTTGACGGCTAATCGCAATTGCAGGATGTGACACCATAAAATTGGCGAAACGTTTTCTGTCTTTCAGCCGGAACTTCCAGTCTAGGAATTGTCCTCAACAAACGTAAAAATTTAGCGTTGAAACGCTTTATGACCTTGTTTATTGTGAATTCTGGGTAGATGAGACTTTCGAGCCCATTTTACTCACAATTTTCCTGATCTTTTCTGACCCCCATTTTGAATCTCATACTCTGTGCAGCCAGCAATTTTCTGCGTTCCTCTGCGCACCACAAAAATACTTCCGTTTTAGTATATTGGGTCGTTCAGCCTTGATTCTGACACTTAGGGAATTTGCTTTATAAGCAGTTATGTGTCTCAGGCAGTTAGGGGCAATAAACATTTTTCTTCACCTTTTTCGGCTACAAATTGTGAAAATAAGATCAATGTGGGAAGTGACTTTTGCGGGTCGCATTGCACATTTTTGCATTACATTTGATGCTGACAAAAAGTTATCGGCTTTTGAGTCATACTGGACTTAAAGAGCAAGATTTTGTTGATCAGCGTTACTTTCGAAACATAGCCCTGTCTGATCTTTTTGGTTTCTTGAAAAACGTATGCGCAAACTCCGAGTAACACCGCCCGCTCGGTCTGAAAGTTGGTATGGATACTTGAACTGAAATCCACCAATTTTCGCGGAATAATCGCATCGTACTCATAAGCTGCCAGCAGCCAGTCAGCAGTTTACAAATACAGGACGATTCACCTTACTGGCTGCGCAGAACCTAGGTAAATGCTCAGATATCTGCTTCGCCGATTTTATGACGTTTCATAAAGCGACTGAGAGAGGGTCGGCTCGTCGATGGGTTCATCAGCGCCTCTGTGTCTCTTTATGAGCAAGGCGTTTATTTATGTTTAAGGCGCGTTCACCGACAAGGCTACCGGGCATGCTTGTTGCATTGTGTCTTGGAGCCCAGTGTAGAGCCCTTTCCGGCAATCGTGTAGCAACCAGAAATATATATTGAAATACCGTCTTATGCCAATACATTTCAGGCTTCATTAAAAGTAGCTCTTAGAGGACGTGGCCACAGTCGTTATGGGAACTCCAGTAGCTAAGCTGTCACTGCAATTAATGTCGGTATTGAACGTTCAGAATTATTTTGCGAAGATAGACCGTATTTAGGAGAAACAGTGGCCTTAGAAAAACATGCGGCTGCCATCGCGAAAGTATTTTACGCATTGGCCAAAGGCTTCTTTTTAAAAGGTCAAATTCTGGCAACGACCGGAACGTTATCAATTAATAAAAATAGTAAAAACGAATTTTTGGAATCAAAACCTGCCCGGCATTCCTTAGCGAATTTCTTTTCAAAATAATTTTATGAACAATAGATTGCAAGCGAAGGACACTGGCATTTATTAAAAATTATAGTTTAACACTATGTTGGCTGAAGATTTTTAATTATATTTAATTGATTTAAATAACCGATCTCCTAGGCAAATGCAATCTCCCGAGTAAAATGGTGAACTCAGAGTCAGTCTGGCAATTCCACTGCTCCGAGCACGAGGGAAAGTCACAATTGGACAAAAAACAAAGCCGGGTGAAGGCAGGACTGCAAGCGTGCCCCGCTCTCCCTCCTCGTAGGGCGTGTTTTCTGAGAGGGTTTAAACGGTGGACGCAGGGGGAATCGTTGACAAAGGTCTGAGGGCTGCGAGTCCCTGGGGGATCTTATCTGGCTCATCTGCACGTGCGTAATTATGCGAGAAAAAGGCCCAACGTTTCGGGCACTGGCTGTACGCAAGGCGGATGCATTTGCCTTTTCGCTGACAACGATTTTCGGCCTAAATGTGCCAGTGCCACGAGGCAAAAATCAGCCTAAATATCTGTTGGGAGTTTTTCCAGAAATTATCTAGGAAAAGAAAGACTCGTTGGAGTTCCTTTATTAGGGACTTTGTGGGTCATTTACAACAGCCCGCCATTCGTGCGTGGCTTGCGTACTGGGTCAGATACGGAAATATGGACTCCCCCAGTACTACGGGTGGTCTTGCGCCTAATTCCAAGTGGTTCCTATTCCCATATCCTGCCTCTTGCCCTAACCATAGCCCTCCTAACCCTAACTGTCCTAACCCTAACGGCCTCCTTACACAAGCCCTAACTCTAACTAACCTCCCTGGAATTCATAGCGAGGCTAATTACAATACGTGGGTTAATATTTCCACGCTCAACCGGGTACCGGATGGTGGTAAGTAAAGATCCTACGATTGATGTTCCTGATTTATCAGTGTGTGAGTGCATAATTTCAGCGACCAAAATTTGCTAGAAGTATAATTGTGGATGACGGTCCAGTGGGAAGAGTGAACAATGCGCTGCTGTTATTACCCTTGAACCCAGAGACGGGACGGTTGATGTGATATGCACCAAGACCAAGGTGACGGTTACTGCTCTTCCCTCTCGAGGTATCCGCTTCTCGGAAAGCTCGCTCGAATGTTTGATGGGGAGGGGGGGGAGGGGTTCTGCTGATAACTCTGGTGGCATTCCAATTCCAAGGATGGTTGCCTTCAAGCGAATGCGACACGAGGTATTGTGTGTGTGTGTGGGGGGAAGCCTGTTTTCTTCATTGGGTGGAGCCTCTGCACGACAGGTCTGCACATACGTTGGTATTTCTTGTACAGGGTAGAATGGGCCCGAAAATATGACTGTAAACAGGGGCAATACAGGCTTGACTGCTGGGTGAATACCAACGCTCCTCCTCCTCAGCTTCTAGAGTCCACTTTTTGGCGGACGGAGTGACTAATTCCCAGACCACATCTGCACTCTCCGCCCTCTTCTCCGGCCGCTGGTTTTCATGTCTTAGAGTTTTTTTTTACAGGAAACTCAGTGCATTTCCGCTCTATATTTGTATAAAAGATAAGAATGATAATGTAACAAGCTGTTAACCGGATGTTGGTTGCTGTAACACAAAGGCGCAGCGGAGGTGAGCTCTGACTCTGCTTCTTTGCCGAGTGGCAGGATAGATACTTCCATAGTTTGGCATAATTTCGGCACAACCTACTGACAATCATTCTAGGCTTCTTCTCAAGTAAATTAGTCGATGTAAAAAGTGTCGTTGAAAATACGATGGAGATATTCGACCTCCGGTTTCCTTATGAAAACGGTGTCGCCAATGTATTGGGGTCTAAAATTTGGTATTTTACCGTCTAATTACGTCTCCTAATAGTGTGGACACATTTAGTTAGGAAGCCTATTGGTGTTTTATCGCTCTATTGATTAGTAACGATTGTCGAGCTTGCAAGAAGTCTTAAGGCTGAAAACTTAGCAGTTATACCACATTATAATTAAGAATGTTCGTGGACTTATCTGGAGGGCCATGAACTCCGCATGCTGTAACCTACTCCCTCAGTAATGAGAAAGCTAGAGTCAGGTCGAGAATAGATTGCTTTCATCTGAGTGTAGGTCGAAACATCGAATTCTTTGATGGAAATGTTGGTTGTGTTTTATCATTTTAGGCCAAACTACTCAGGTGTTTTAGGCGTCTGAAAGTCATTGGGCAGACTCCGGTGACTTAGAAAGTTTATATTAACTGCGTGACTTCCAGTGACTGCATGCACATGCAGTGGGAGGACCAATGTTGTTCACAAACAATCGTGGCTGTGACTGTTAATTATTCTACTCTGGCGCGCATCCAAAATAGCCTCTCTTGTCGCAGTCGCCTGCCTGTCCCCATCATACAGCATTCACTACTTTTTGTTTATTCTGTCTGACACGGGGCCGTCGTTCGCATCTCGAATATTCACAGGTGAATTTCTGGATTGTCGAAGAATGTCACTTTTAATATCAGAACTGGAGTATATGTCGGAAACCGCATGGAAAACATAGGGGTACCCAATAGTGAACTGAACCCTCTACGACTGTGCCATGTATGGGCACGAAATCGACTAAACAGGTGTCTGGGCTGTTAGCTAATACTCGTACTGGGAGTATGTTAAACTACTCCATATTTATTGAATAATGCTTTGGTCTCATGCGTATGGCAGATTATATGAGTATGACCGGAGATAATCAAGAGGAGAGGTAGGCGTTGCTGTCCTCTGTTATTACTAATCAACGGCGTAGAACTATTATTTGCACTCCCGTATCCTGTTTCCGATAGGTGTTTCTGGGAAAGGATAATAAAAGCCGCAAATAACTCCAATATTCGACGTTTCTTTGCGCTATGTGCCGATAAACGTACACCTACAAGGGGATTCGTAAACGGGAGGTGATTTGGACGTTTAACTCATACACGTAAAAAATCACATCCAGCACCCCCGCCCCAAATAAGTGTGCTGGGCCCTTTCCTTCTCCAGATCCTCATGCTTTTTTCCTTACTCCATATAAACAGTTTGGTTTACTCCCGAAGGCGTGTGTGTATTCTTATTTTCACATGCAATGTCTATCTTTCTCATCTAGCTAACAGTACTTGTTGCCCTGTGCTGTGCTTCCTCTGGATCCTCGGTCAAGGAATACCATGTTTTCAATGATGATGCCTCGGCCAGTCAGTTCGCCGTCGCAGTCTTTGTCCTGGCCTTTTTATTCAGTATCATCTCACTCATCAGCGATTACCTCTACGGCAGTGCCTCAAATGTGAAACGACGTCGAAACATCTTGCTCGGTGATGTTGGTGGCTGTGGTGGGTTCTCTGATATTTTCATTTGGATGTCAGTGTCTCTGCACAAACCTGTTGTATCCCTCAGCATTACAAGTGGCTTTTCCCTAAATTCTCGGCTTACGGTTATGAGGGTTAGTGCCAGGTTCAGAGCTAGGCAGCATAGAGTTGGGGTTAATGCTAGGACATGGAATAGGTACTCCCTTGGAATTCGATGCAAGGCCACTTTCAGTACGGGGGGGAGGGGGTCAGTATTCCCGTCTCCGAGGAGGATTACCCAATTTGTGTAATTTTTTGTCGTACTGACAACACAGACAGAAGCAAAAAGCCCAGGCGCACGTATTTTGCCGATCTTGTGCCGCTGTCTGACGCAGCTGGGAGGGGTTCGACTCACCAATGGGTCCCCCAGCCGTCCTCCCCGTGTTTTCTGGTATATGAATTTCAGTTTCGCCTTGTGTTGATTATTTTTCGAGGAAATGAATGCGCGGACTTGGAGTTAATCCTTCGGAACAGACCTTTTCAGGCACAATCTGAAATTAGACATGAATAATTGGGCTGAAATGCATGAGCTACCGCGGAATAGCCGTGTAATATTCACAAACCGCTAGCAGACAGCCAGTAGTATGGAATTATGTAATTATTTACCAAAATTGACAATACAGTTCGAAGCTGTGGCACTACTCCAGCCTGCTTGATCGTCTTCTCCTCAAGCAGAGTGTTGTCGCTTTTTGCCGAGGTGTCTCCGTCCTTTTCAAAATCGACTGAAAGAACCGATACTTTTTATATCAAGTTCAAGCCAGACTGGGCTGCAATAAAACCTAGCGGTTTCTGCGGGTGCGGAGTTACGCTAATCTTCTTCTTGGGTTATGATCTTGGTACCGGATCTTCTTCGTCTGTTTCCAAATGCGAGTTATTTTCCCTCGGTGATAATAAAGGCTGGTTTGGACGCGGGAATATGGAACCAACCTGGTAATGCAGATAGTTTTGCGCTAAATCCCAGGGATGGCACCCTACACTTAACTCCAACTCAAACCTTAACCCCATAACTTTAAGCAAAAGGCTAATTTTCCAGCTGGAGATTTACGCATGACCCCCCCCCCCGGAAGAAAATTCGGAGCTTTCATATTTCCATGTCACGCTAAAGGATGTAGCAGGAAGACTAACTAGATATTCTTTCATCTTTCCGTTGTTACTTTCTGATTCCGAACCATATTCTGGTATATTAATGTGAGTAATGTCTTATCAGTATTCGGCCCCCTAGTCTCTGACGGCAAAATAATGCCCGTTCAAATCACATCTTCAAAATCCAGCGAAGCGACCTTAAGAGTAGTATTATTATTTACAGGTACAATTAGTACCTTCGCCTCGTGTTTTTGCCTGTATTCCTGACCGTTTCAACCGCCGACATAGACAAGTTTCAGCCAGATCAGATGAAGCCTCTGCAGTCTATTCCCAGCTGCCAATTGGAGGAGCGAAATATAGAAGAATGACGACGCCAACGTTACGAGAAGAGGCAATAGGTCATTGAATGATTCACGGGTCAAGCAAGGGGAAGTAAGCCATGTCGTTTTGTGACTGGTTTAGAAACTGACGGAACCTCTCGGCTACTTCAAGCCGGGGACTAGAGTAAGCAAGATATCCGGCAAGGGAAATATTGTTAAGCTTCTTGAGGGGATTTATCCTGCATATCGTAGGCTTACCTCCACCCATCCCAGACTATCCATCCTGGCACCAAGCTGTTCACGGAAAACACTAAGTTCCTCTTTTCTCTGAGTTGCAATGAACTTCACAAATTACAGATGCCGCGCCCTCTATTTAATCTCATCTGTGCACCGGAGCATCAGCAAAGGCCAAAATTGTGTCTTCCTCGTCTTCAGTCGTGAATTTGCGTTTCACTTTCAGCCGGTTCATTACAGCGAGCAGCAGATCACTCGGTCTCCGCTCGGCTACTGCGGCGAAAATATCCTCCTCACGCGTGCACAGAGTTCGATCTTACTCAAAACTTCCAAGAATTTTACCCTAAAACCTGGAAAAAAAAACAGATATTGGAACAGGACCTAGAGCGTCACTCACAGGCACATAACCAAATGTCTGAATATAATTAAACTAATAAGAGGTGGACTTACAATACATGGGCTAACTCATAAAATGTCAACTGAAATTCCGAAATGCGTTTTCGTTTCGAAAAGAATAATTGAGTAGGGTTGTAAGACTAATCAGCTTGAAGTATAATTCTATAATAATTCAGTTACCTCAGGATGCCGTCTTTCGAACGATTATTTTTCTGGCTGCATGCAAAAATGCACACTGTAAAAAAATGACTACGTAATTAGCATGCATTTTTCTAATTGATTTTCGATGCCCCTATAAGACCAATTATATTTCATGGAAAACATGCATCAAAATACTTATTCTTTTACACGATCGGTTGGCACTGACGTCTTCTTCCAATTTTATGCTCGAAGGAAGAAGATAATTCGGTTTTAACAAGGTTTTAATTGTGAGACTTTCCAATACCATGAAATGGTCGTTCATAAAACGTCATGTTTCAGATTTTATCATTGTGGCTTGTAAAGTTAACAATATGAATCACATCCAATGCGACATTGTATGAACCTCTATGGTCTTCTCTTAGTACCATAGAGAAAAATGCGGTTTTTCGTACGCGGAAAATATACGGCTTGTAGTTTGGAAACCCTGAATGCAAGTGTGACGGCAGAGCGGGTTCAAAATTATTCGGAAAGTGGAAGAGTTTTCGAAAACTAATTTATATCATTCCTTCGAGTATACAATTCGAAGAAGACGTAATTTTCTAGCGAATGAGCAGGAGAATGAATATTTTTATGCATGTTTTCCATGAAATATAATTGGGCTTTTAGGGGGATCGAAAATCAATGAGAAGAGTTCATGCTAATTAAGTGGCCATTTTTTACAGTGTGTATTGGCATGCAGTCGGAAGGAAGTTCGTTCGAATTCCTGCATCTTGAGGTAGCTGAATTGTGATAGAATTCTGCTGTAGGATGATTAGTTTTACAACCCTACTTAATTAATCTTTTCGAAACGAAAACGCATTTCGGAATTTCGGTTGACATTTCGTGAGTTAGTCCACCTACTGTGCAAATTTCAACGTCTGTTTGCCAGGAAGGAGATTAATTGGACACCGCAACGGTCAGCGCAGTCTTTTGAAATCCCAGTCTTGCGGGAAGCCATTATCGGCGGCATTATGGAAGCAGAAACAAATATGCAGCTTTTGACCGCTTGCCGACGGGCTTTGTCACTAGTTTAAAATAAGCGGTCTCTAAGTAAATAACTTCAACTGTAAAGTTGGTTGGAAGCATTATAACAGTCCTGTTGCTTGCATGACTGTTAAATATCCTCCTCGAAATACTGTGAGTGCACTCGCGCCTGCCAGGACTGAAAGGACATTCTCACGCAGACTGGCGTGTACCTACCATCGCTACCAGAATAGATGCCAACCAATAAAAAAGACGGAGATTTCAAAGAGCTAAAGCACGCATCGCCCTGCTGTACTGAGTGATTTTATAGCCCTAATGCCGGGTTTGTAGGAGCAGAATCTCTGAGAGGAAAGACTGAAGTACCTGACACAGTGGCGACTTCTGCGCCACTGGTGGGGGGATGAGCGCAGCGTCAGCCTTGCTTTCTCATTCCACACCACCCACCAAAATTCGCTCGGCAAGATGTCTCGTGAGACGGAAGCGGCGGCGGGGGGTGGTGTTGTTGCAGGAACCTCCCGCGCAGATGAGCAAACTCCTGTTTCTGAGCCTTCGAGCTCGTGCGGAAGTGAGCACAACCATCGGGTTAGACGGACAGCCGTGCAGCTATTGTATTTTCTGTTTGCGCCTCACCTGCACGCAGCTTTGACTGAGAACGAAGCCGCGTCGTCTAGTGGTAGTGGTCCCGCAGCGCGCGGTACACCGGGGGAGAAGGGATGTGCCGGTTTGGCAGAAGTGCAGTCAAAGATACAGGTCTCAAACAGCCCCTGCTTCAAAACCACAGTGCGCTTTGGAGTAGCGAGTTCCCCCTAGGCAATGTCAGTTTTCGGCCTTTTTTCGAGGTGGTTGTAGGGTAAATGCCATGAAAAAGTGTGTTTTCAGATGAAAAATACTATCTCGCCAAGGTCCCCGCATAAGAAATACTTTGAAGGTTAGACTTGTCGACAACAATTTGTATGACCAAAAGCACTTGTTTGTTAATATCATTTTTTTCAAAAGCCCGAGGTCTCCCTGTTGATGTCATGCGTTTTACCCCAGTTAATGTCCGATATTATAGCTGTGGATGTACTTTTGTAAATGAATTTGTTACTTTTGGCTAGGGCAGCGATAAATTATTGCTATCAGCTTGTTGGAAGCAACCCTCTAGCATTCCGCACTAGAGTTTTAAAAATGGCTGTCTTCTCCTGAAAACTAATTTCAATGCAATTATCAGCAAAAGTTCCACCAAAACAATTGTCTGTTGTGTTATGTTTCGAAAATTTTTAAAAAACAGTCATAAACGGGGCACTTAAAGACCGATTATTGGCGGAACAGAACTGCGCATAAGGCTTTTTTCGACTTGCTGACACGGTGGCATTTTACGGCAAACAGCCCATTGCGCTGAATGGCTGGCTCGATTCCTCGTGTGCAGTCCTCTAACAAACTTTGAAATATTTTCTTATTGAAAAAACTGAATTTCGACTAAACGATTCGTTTACACTCAACTAATTTCTCTAAAGATAACAAACGCGACACGCATACGTCCTCGACACTTTCTCCTCGGGCCACTACAGGTGTAAGGCGAAATTGCTCTTAAGTCAGCCAGTGAGCAAGTTTTTTTCCTTTTATAAAGTAAACGGTTTGTTGTTAGGCCATTGAATAAAGAACAATAAAGATCAAATAAAAAATTGTGCTAGTAGCATGGCTGAGGCTGCATGTCAAGGGGCTTGTTAGACATTATCAACTTGAATCGTAACTTTTATTATACTTTGTCAGATGTTGCGTTAAATCATTACAAGAATATATGCATGAATGAGACATGATGGCATTACTGATAGAGATAAGGGAGACTGGAATGCCCATTTCGACCGCATTAGCCGTCGTCAGCCGGTCACACCCAACCCCGAGGTGTGCAACACATGGGGCTGAATCCCGCGACCTGTTGGTTAGAAGTTCAACGCCTCTAACCACTGGGTCACGGGCTCGTTTTCCTATCGGTTACGATCGGGAAAGAAATCCCCAAGGCACAGCGGGACGAGTAAGTTCCGTAAAAGCTATCAGTGAACAGCCCCCCTCTACCATTATGTATGGATGCAGTTCTTTGTCAATCTCTAGAACCCAATAGACTGTGTAACACCGTTGTCGACTTCGCATACTGGAGCACCAGTTGTTTTTAATTTGCTTAAATGATCCACTTTTCATAAAAAGCTGAAGAATGGAATGGGTGTTCGGCTCTGCGCCTTCTTTGAAAAGCTCTCCTGGGGATCTAATTTACACCTACGTCTCTATATCGAGGAAGGATAACCAATTATGTCTTGAAAAGCAGCTAAGATATCATTAAATGTGTTGACAGAAATTCCATAATATGTCTTCGATGAGGAAATATTACTTAGATGGGATCGTTATATCGCTCATCATTCAGTCACACGGGCATGCCGTCATTTAAATGCCCTCCTTGTTGGTTGTATTCAAAACTGGCTACCTAGACAACATGCATTTTTCCCCTGATCTTTGACATTCTTATAGATTCAAATACATTTTATAGGAGGCGCGCACAAAAACGTTCTCTCTTCTACTCATTCCGTAGCAAATCATGTCCTCTTTGAATTTTATTCCCGAAGAAACGATCATTTTAATCCCCATGTAGTTTTTAAGTTGGTGTGCCATTACTCATGCATTTAGGATTCCCGAAGCACGAATTGTATACTGTCCATATCATACGGGACTAATAAAATTTTGCAATGGGTGTGACCATGTTTTATACTTCATAGGGAAAAGTAATAAATGGGCAGTTTTAATGCTTGCTCACGGACTTAACAAATCGCATTATTATAAACTCCTTTTAGAACCGAAAGAAAATCTTTCTCCGAGTCTAACCTTTGAAGGGGATTTTTTCGGTCGCGTATACTTTAAACTATATTTTAATATATATAAGCGCAAAGAAAATCGGTGGGAAAAATTTATACCGCTTGAGTAGTCATTTTTTCGGATGCTGGGTTGGGGACTGTCGACACAGAATAGACAAATCAAAAATATAGAACCAGGACTATCGGAGTCACCTGGTGTTATTGCCCGTGCCAGGGGCTGAAAGTCACCTTGCAAAGCCCCTTTTCTTACGTGGAATATTTGGGCCAGTAGGACATCAATCTAGGTTCAGTTTTGCGTTTTTCTACTATTTTCTAATTTTCAAAGACAATAATGCGAATTTTTTGGGCTTACTCATTTTTATATACCCGGGACCTAGCTCGCCGCGCTCGGCCCTATCCTCTCTCGCCGTGCCGCCGTGCCGAACCAATCCCTTTCGACTGCTTCATATTGTACAACTCCGTGCACTTGGCATATTATTTACTCGGCTAACAAAATATACGTTTTGATCCTTAATTGCAGGTTATCATTAAACGACGCTTTCATAACGGTTTCGTAAAAAATTGTGGTGTCAACTATGTAGCTGAGAAAGGCAGATGCTTGATGCGCTGTGTATGCCGACTTTCCGGAGAGCATTCGCAGAGCCCAGCCGACTTAATCCTACGTTCTTTTGATTAGTTTGAGGCCGTTTTACCGGTTGACTTTTAGTTTTTTTGCCCTTACTAGAGACAGAACAGTCTGGCCGATACGACCCCCGCTTTTCGCACCATCTGTTATTCTGAAACGTCTCGAGTGACATGAAGGGCAATTACCTGTCTTTTTAGTGGCTTGTGGATTTACGTCCCATCGGAAAAACACCGACTGCTGATTTTTTGATATTCAAATCTGTGCCCAACGTATGCCCGCATGTTCCGTAGTTGTTCCTCCTCGGCCTTCAAATCCTCACTTATCAGTCTTATGCTATTAATTCTGGTCGATTAGTCCCGGCTGCTAACAGTTTTTAAGGTTGCTCATTACTATAACAATTCCGTGTTCGATGTCACCCTTCCCGATGGAACCTCTTATAATTGTGGTTTGCGTTGAGCGTGGGTTGATTAAGCTCCAGCAGCTTATATCAGCTAAAAAGAAAGTAGAAAGCGCCTCCTATGTCATTCATTTTGGATCGACTTTCCCAAGTAAAATTGTGGTCAAGAATCTGGAAACAGTTTTGAGAAAACTTCATGAAGTTATCACGTTAGAGCCACCAAGGGCAACATGTATCTGAGCAAACCATTCTCTCAAAAATCGTGGTTAGCAGGCTAACAGATATATACGGGTGAACTTCTGCGTTCACCTGACCTGCAATACGAGGTTATAGAATTGTCACCAGGTCAAATTTATGTGTCTTTTTAATTAACAGTCGTATTAGCCCAAAGTCCTCCAACGAGGAATTTGGACAACGAACATTTTTGGCTATCGCCTGGTAAAGACACCATCGAACATTTTTGGGTCATCAGATAGACGTGCACACTAATTATCCCATATTTTTCTATCAGTTTCTCATCCTCACTCATGTTCCCTTGCATTCGGGCAGATATAACCAACGCATGAAGAATTTACCCTTAGGAATCCATGATGCATCTCTTGAAGACCCGCACATTCAGTGAAGACCGCATCGCGCTTGGCACTCGTACATGGCTGTTTACTTTTGTCAGCCACTAAGCACGACTCAACACATGTCGGATGGTTGACAAGTTCGGGCATTCGACTGAGTATGGGGGAGGGAAGGGAGAATGAGCTCTACACTGGGGCATCTATCCTCACGGCACATCAGCGCATTCCCTACAACAATGATCTATCGCATGGCAGACCGTCAATGGATGGGATTACTCGGCCCTCGTGACCACTACGGCGTGTGTATGTGGAGTGACTGGCTGGAAAATGGAAATTAGATTCGATGCCTGTTTCTTAATGACGCAGGTAGGTTTTAAGCTGCCCCCCGCGGAAGCCTGGTATATTCCGAGGGAACCAGACTGTGTGTATGTGTGGCATTTGTAGACAGACTTTCTAGCTTTGTCTAGCGTTTTGTTCCAGTTGTCTTGGCCCTGTCCTTCCATCAGAGCCACGCAGGTGAGGGGCGAGGGAGTGCCATAGATGCTTCGCAAGTCTGCTCCACTTTAAGCCACTTCACGCGTAAGTCACCGGGTTGCACATGCGCTCCGTGGGGTACACAGTAAACGCCGTCGCTACTGGCTGTCGAAATGTCGGATTACACTCCACCGAGTTATATTTTGCCACCTAATAATAAAATGGTATAATAAGCGACGAATATTTTGCTAACGAAACTCTACTGCTGACTTATGATAAAGGTGTTTCCAGAAACTTCGAAGTTATCAGATACAAATATGCGGTAGCCTTTAAATAGACTTCGCTCAGTCATTCTCCTTAGGTTTTGCGGTTGAGGCCTGGACGATTTGGCCTGAGAAGCATTTCCTGCCATCTCTTCTCTATCCTTAAACTTATATTGCACCTTTTTGTCATAATGCTGATTTAGAAATATCCTGTGTAATATGGAATATTTAATAGGAATATATCTTATCTTCGGAGGTAATCCTAACCCCTTACATTCTCACTGTTGAGATGAGTCGGAAGTAGTTAGGAATTGGTATACTCCTCGACAATGCACTAATTCTGAATTCAAAATGATACTACCGACAAAGACAATGGAGACTGGAATGGCCATTTCTAGCTTATTAGCCGTCGTCAGCCAGCCACACCCAACCCCTAAGCGTGGAACACCTGGGGGTCGAACTCACGACCTGTTATTTAGAAGTCAATGCCTCTAACCACTGGGTCACGGGCCCGCTGTTCTGTCGGTTTCGATCGGGAATATGCAATGGCAAAGGGCGCTCACCGATCGTTCTTACGGAACTCACTCGTTCCGTTGTGCCTTACGGGCTCTTTCTAGAGCCCATGGGTATGACTGACTGACGACGGCTAATAAGCCAGAAATGGCCATTCCAGTCTCCCTTGTCTTTGTCGGTAATACCATTCTGCCTATATCATGCGCCGCTGTGCGGCTGCTGGTCGGGCTGAAGAGAGAGCCCGTAAGGCAAAACGGAACGAGTGAGGTCCGTAAGATCGATCGGCGAGCACCCCTCTACCAACTCGGAATTCTTCATCACTCAGAGTAAGTATTTTCCAAGAATTTCCTCTAGGATCCTTTCCGTGGAACACTGCCTCTTAAGTGGATAAATCTAGCGTGCTTAGGAAACTTTGTATGGCATTGCTTTCAGATCTTCGATTACATTCCGAAATCAAGCGACTCAGGTTGAACAGTGTAAACTAAATTCTTGGAAGTTTTATTATCGTTTTTCGAAGATTTGGCCAATGCCTGGCCTGACACTTTTTAACAACTTATCTGATAAGTTGTTGAGCCAGTTTCCGGAGCAGATATTGGTTGGACAGGGGAAATAAGTTGCCCCTCGCACTTTAAGAGATCATGAGCTATATTGTAGGAGGAAAACCTGTTCCGGCATCCTAACTTTGACCCTAAGCCCCTCCCCCCCCCATAACGCTCCTTACCTTGAACCTGGCACCGACGCTAAACCCAGACTTTAGAACGAGATCACCTGTGATAAGGGGGGAAGCACTCATTCCTGTATCCAGCCTAGATATACAATTAATTTTGCGAGTCGGATCGGAGCTCTGTTGTCCAGGTAACTTTACTCAGCGTTCGCACATTAATCCCCGGTGAGAATATATACTGTGCTGTGGAATTTATTTCTGCCTTTACCGCTAGTACAGAATCCAGCTCGCTCTTCTGGCAGACCTTTTTCGTCCTTCGGCGCCAAAATCAAAGCTACAGTGATGAATTTTTCGTCATTTTTATGCTCTCACTATGTAACTTTGTCAGCTATACTCAAGACACTAGGAACTCTTTAACATCTAAAAGGGACTTAAAGAGTTTGTCGCCTATAAAAATTTATGCAGTAACGACGTAGGTCGCTTGAGAGTCAAGAAGACGGAAGATTGCATATCGAAGGACTGTTTATTTTGAAAATTTTCAAAGATTCCGAATGCTAAGTTGCACATTGAGATTGAAAAAGAGGCCTCTGTTTGTCAAGCGCACACGTTAGACCTAATTAATTAGTTCAAGACAATCTACGGTTTTTTGTGACGAACGGCACACCATCAGTACATCGAAGCATAAATGAAACCTGCTGATTTGTTACTCTCATAGGTGACTTCGAAATCGGCTCGTTTTGAAATAAGCCGATCGCTGCATTAGATGTCTAAATTGTCATCTTGAACCTGGTAAGGGTAAGTGTTCAATGAAAGCTGGGAGGTTCATTTCGGCTGTCGGTAAAAAGTATCAGCATCTATTTTTTTACTTAGGAAAGATTGCTGTCGGGACCATTGTCGATGCAGACAGATTAAGTGGGTTTTAGCTAACCTATTACCGCCTTCCCTATGGACGTCTGGTCTTTGTCCATATAACTGCTTAAGTCATTGTGCCCATGAAGTTTTCTTCAGCGAGGGAACGGTCTTATTTGGAAGGAGAAGTCCGTAAGATATTGCTGGCAGAAGCAAAGAGACTGGCATGGACCAGTTTTTGGAAAAGTGGAAGTCAGAAGCATCACCCCTGGGGTGGAGGAGGGGGGCGTTACCCAACACTCATCCCCGGAAGGCTCCACATTTTAAAGTTCTGGCTGGCTAAAGGATTCCTCATTTTTGAGCATCCTCCTTGCATTCCTCACCATCTCCTCTTTCGGAGCGTTCGGCCTACCTAGCCAAGAGAACCCTGCGGCCAATAATGCCTGAACGAAACTTAACTTAGTTGAAGCATTATAAACGCTACTTATATCAAGCAAGTAAAACCTTCATTATCGTCATTCTTTGCCATTTCAGCTTTGTTCGCCTTCTTGAGTTTTGTCTGCTTCTGCTACTTGACGCATCGCTGGTCGAATACCTCGAAGAAGTGGCTTAATCAGAAGGGATTCGAGCACTGGCAATGGCGTAACGCTCGGTCGACCATCTTCTTCACTTTTGTCGCTGTCGTCCTCTGGGTAGGCCCTGAAGTTAAAAATCCCTTTCCTAGCCTAAAAGTACTGGTCAAGCAAGACTATTTTCGCTGCTACTTATTCACGCTTTACATGCTGCATGATAGCATTTGCAATATCCTCAGCGTGTAAGACTCAAGGTAAGAGGCCCAATCGGGAGCCGTAAGAGATTGTATTGGAGGAAACAAGGAATTACTTGGTACCGACAAAGACAAGGGAGACCGGAATGGCCACTTCCGACTTATTAGCAGTCATCAGCAAGCCATATCCAACCCCAAGTGTGGATCACTTGGGGTTCGAACCCGGGATATTTGGTAATGGAGTGTGACACTACTATTCTACTTCTACTACTAGTCGCTGTGCGACTTATTGTGAGGGTTCTAGCATGAGCCCCAAGGTACAGCGGAACGAGCATGTTCCGTAACCTGATCGGTGAGCGCCCATCTGTCAGAACAAGAAATTTCAAATGCCTTTTAGTTGAAACGGAGACAAATAGGCTTACTCAGAAGACAACGCCATTTATATTTCGACCGTTTTATGCCGCCATAATCTAACAAAGGATGTGTGTGAAAGCTGTGGAGGAAAAATTTTGAAGCATAGTATTTGCTTAAGAGGAATAAATTCCAAAGACCAAAATCCATAATTCCGCAAGTCTCTGAAGGAAATACAAAATTTGCAGTTACCCAGGTTTTGCGTAGACAGAAAATTACCACTCCTCTTAGGCAAGAAATTTGCTAAGTTAAGTTGTTACTATTTTATTTTAAAGTGTGAATTTTTGTTTCGGTTGGATTATTATTGAGGATGTTTGTTTATCCGAATTTAGTGTAGCTGCAGGCTTCGTGTTGCAAATATCGAACTGCCTTCGAAGTTTACTAAGATGGGGCTTATCACTGAAATTCCATAAAATAAATTTACTGACCACCTTAGGCAATGAGTCGGGCACCATCTTCAGTTTTGTTTTTCAAGGAAACCACCCGAAAGAGATATTCCAGCATAAAACTCCAAAAGTAAAACGTTATCAGAATGTACTTTATATCCTCTTTTTAACTTTTGGATGAATTGCGTTTGCACAGCGTGTCATTCTGCGAAACTTAGATTCCCAACTCTCTCTACCCGCGTCGGCACACTTGGTATTTATTCGTCTGGGTTTTTTTTCCCCAGAGCTGCCTGACCTTCCTGGCCCTGGTGCGTTTCCGACAGAGTGGACAGGGTCTCTTCTCAGCCACCCTCACCCATCCCGGTATGGTCGGTGGCGAACCAGTCGTCGATCCCTCGACCGGGGTTGGCGACTATCCTCCACCCACCGGTGGTGCCTACAGTCATGCCGGAGTAAAAGGCGGGCCACCTTCGGCAGGCTTTCCCTCACAGGCAACCCAGCCTACCAGCAACGTGTCTGGCTACCCAGGCGATGGCACTGATCAGTACTACCCACCCACCTTCTAGACAAACTGTGTCCTCCTCGAGGGATTACTAAACATTCCGCCTGCAGTTTGCATTCGTTCCTACCCCTGACTTGCCAATCCACTACTCATAGCATTCCATTTTGTCGTGCATTTACTTTAGCTCACCGTGCAGAAACCTTCAGTTCATTCCATTTTCCCTCGCACTGTGATGAGGAATGACTGGTTGTGCTTTAAAATGCCGTTTTACTTCGTCGTCGTTGTCAGGGTCGCATGTTGTGTCCTGCCTTTTGTGGACGTCGTCTTTTCAAACTCTCTCTCTTTCTCTTTAGTCAGTCCTTCGTTTTACTTCATATTCTTCGCTCCAGCGACTCCTGGGATTCCATGCTGCGTTCGCTGCTTCGATGTTTTCCAACAACAGTGTCGGTTATCGTAGGGGTATGGAACAGTAGTCACATTTTCTGGTCTTATATCGTCCTACCAATGGTCTGGCCGTCATCCAATTTCGATAAGTTCGGATAATCTGTTTGGCCGTCACGAATGATGATATTCACGAGTTCCCCATGGGCGTAGGGCGGTGAGTTACTTGTGCATTAGTTTATAGTGATGGTGAACTTACGCAGACTCTGTCGCATTCTCTCCTCCCTCCTCCGCCTGACACCAGTTGTAGGACTGAGTCAGAAGGCGTGATCAGACGCAGCGGGCTTGTGAAGCAGAACAGCCCGTCTACGCGTGCCTCTCACAAGCTGGTCTCCACGCAATACACCAGGCTTTCACAAAAAGGGTGGGTGGCTTGGATTCCATCTGCGCGGGCTGCCAGTGAGAATACGTTTAAGATGAGCCACTGAGTTCAACTCTCCGTCCTGAGAGGAGAACGTTGCCCAGTGGGTTGGCAGCATTCCAACCACGACTTTTCGCGCACAGTGACAGGCTGAAAGCGCATCAGGTTGCATCTAGCAAGAAATGGGTGCTGAGTGCGTGGCGACGGGGTCACCACTGTAGATCTCGTTCTCCCTTCCCCATACCATACACCACTCTGCTGTCCAAACCGGTCAGCCATTGGGTATGGTGAGTGGGTGCAAATGACTGGCGCGACGTGGGCCTGTGCGTAGGCGTGCCATAACATCCTTCTGATTGACATTTGATATGGGATGGGAAAGACTCTTCTCAGTTCGGTTAGCCTCTGTCACGCCTTAAGCTGGCTCCCGTGTTTGCCCAGCGCACTTCCGCCTTGCCCGTCCTGATGGCACACTCGGATAGTAGCGCTGGAACAACTGGCTAAGGTCTTGCATTAATGCACTAGCGGCTGGATCCAGACCCCAATGACGCCACCGTCCAGGAATACCTTCTATACTTCACCGTGTAGCCACCAACACGCGTCTCATGAAAAATTTATTCTCGTATTTAGCGGTTCATCCGATGCTCTCAAAAGAATTTGATGTCATGCCCCGCTGCTGACGCCTGGGTCTGCGCACCTTCATCTCAGTTGCAGGATACATTAGTAGTTAAATAGGGCAGGGTTTACTGGTGAAATTTCTACTAGAAACTTGCAAGAGATAAAAGAAAGAGAAGTTTGACTGTATTTCACGCGGCAGATATGCGAGTGAATGGACCTGCAGCACATGTGAACAAGGGCCGATGCTATTTTGATTGGACGTCAGGGCGTATTTCTACCGCTTCCGAGTTACTATTTAAACCAACTCAGTTGCCCGTGCAGTAAGCTGATTCAGAAAACCGTCCGCATTGGCCTCACCTGGGTCAGTGCCGTTCTAGTAGACTCAACCTTCAAAGGTTCCGTATTCTAGACGAACCATTCCGAGTTATGTGTGTGAGCGATACGCCGCGTCAACTTTGTAGCTGCACAGCAGTGAGAATAAGTGCGCTGAGCACTACAACCACGGGGACGAATCCCCTATTGGAAGGAGAAGACGGAAGGCACCAGAATGGGGGTTTACTGTGCACAGAACCCGGAGTTGACCTCTCAGGCGGCAGTGGCCACTGGCGAAGCCCGGGCTGGTTTTTACTGCGTCCAGTCACGCCTAGGAGTCCTTGAGAAAGTGGTGGCAGCGGCTTTTGTAGGCTCGTGGGCCAAGCTCAAGTGGTGGCCAGTCAGTGCGTGTGTTGCATTTGCCGAGGGGTGGTGTCCCGGTGGCTTAGTTTGTGCTTGTACGGGGTTGGGCGCGATCAAGTGGCCGCATAGACAGCTCCGGCTGTGCAGACGCAGGTATGCCCGAGCTGCCGGTCGCGTGACTTCAGGTCAACGCGTCTGCGACGGCTCACTGCAAAAGGCTGGATGACCTTGAGGCAGCGAGGTCTTGAACAAGGACACCAGACCGGTCATGACGGCTGCCTGTTACAACTTCTTCTGTCCAGATCACGACACACCACGCGACCTAAACTGCTCGCATGGATGCAGACTTATAATTAACAGGTCGCGAGTTCGGGCCTCAGGTATTCCACACCTCGGGGCTGGGTATGACTGGCTGACGACGGCTAATAAGCCAGAAATGGCCATTCAAGTCTGCCTTACCTTTGTCGGTAACAGCATTCTGAATATGTTGATCATATCTACGTTGAAGGAAAGGCTCAGCATCCTAATTTTCATTTGCATGAAGTTGCCCGTAAATTTCGGGCGGGAAGTTCGAATCTTTCCAGGCAATCCACTTATGACAGCCTCCAAGAGGAGCAAGCATGCCTTTTTGGATGTTCCTGAACTTTCCCCGAAATCTGTATGTCACGGGAGGGGGATATGAAGAGCAGGTTAGTGCGCAGTTTTCAAGGTATGATCGACTAAATTCGTGAGGATAACCTGCGAATAAAGTTGTACAATCAGACAGAAATATGCGATAAATTTGTCTGATTGAAATGTTTCGCATTCAACAAATAAAAAAGCCCCAGTTATTACTAGAGGACCCTTTTTAAGAAACACGGTGGAGAGAAAAGTGGAAACTCTGGAAAAGGATAAAAAGAGACGAACTGAAGAAAGCAATTATGCAGTCTTTTACTTCCATGCCCTGGTCCAGCCTCTCTTCTACCTATGAAGAGGTGGCAAAGTCCAGTTACTAGTCATTCGGAGTTTAAAGAGATAAGGCACGATCTGGCGTAGTCATCACAATCAAAAGATATTTGAAGGATTGACCCTTACGGCCCGATGGCCACGTTGTAGCTGCCCCCGGGCCCATCGCGTCTTCTTTAGACGTGAATGCTCGCTGCAGGGATAAGACTGGATTACGAAATTTCAGATAGCCTAAGCACACTTTTTCTTCCAATTTTAATTTCTAAAGAAGGGTATAATCCGGTTTTAAAAAACTTTTCTAATTCCCGAATAATTTTGAATCGGACCTGCTGTTACACTTGCATTCAGGGTTCCAAAACTACAGGCTGTATATTTTCCGTGTAAGGAAAACCATGCATTTCTCTATGGTGTTAGGAGGAGACCATGTGAGGTTCATAAAATTAAGCAGTGGATTTGAGCAATATTGTTAACTTTACAAGCCACATTCGTAAATGCAAATACATGACGTTTCATGAACGGCCATTTAACGGTATTAAAAAACCTCACAATTAGAAACTTTTTCAAAACCGAATTATACTCTTCTTTTGAGTATGAAATTGGAAGAAGACGTGATTTTCTGCCGAATAAGTAAAAGGAAAATATTTTTTTTCATGTTTTCCATGAAATATAATTGAATTTTCAAGGGCATCAAAAATCAATGAGAAAATTACATACTGCTTAAGTAGTCATTTTTTGCAGAGTATCGATCTTGCATACAGCCGAAAATAAGTTCTTTCGAAAGCCGATACCCTGAGGTGACTGGATCATTATAGATTTATGCTGCATGATGATTAGTTTTACAACACTTCTTAGTTTATCTTTTCAAAACGAGAACGCATCTCGAAATTTTGGTTGACATTTCATGAGTTAGCCCACCTACTGTAAAGTCAGGATAGGAATCTTCATTCCCACTCCAAGCGTTAAGTCAAGTCAAAAGCAAAATTACAGTGAGCCAGAGAGTGAAACGTCCATGTCTGGAGACAGGTAAAGCAATCCCCAATAAATGCTCTCCTTCATATTTGAGTGAAGCTGGTGCATTGAGGGCAGGCACGGGTAGTTGATTCGCGACTACAACCGGTCATCAGAGCGCCATGACGTTTCACTCCCTCAACACCTCCGTGGAGACTTTGTTCGTTCGATCGACGACTCCACCTGTTGCGGTAGTCCCATGATAACTAATCCCTGACCCATAATTCTCAACACCCGGACTGCGGTCATCCCTTGATGTGCAGAGATCTTCACGGGATGTAAAGTAATTCCCTCAGAAATTTTTTATGTGCCTTCATAATGTTGCTATTTCTGGTGTTCGGATAAAAATAAAGTGTACAAAACAGGCATTCCCAAAATGCAAACTACAAGTGGTCCTATACTGCGAGCCACAGGTGTTTTTTCTTTATTTTCCTTCTTTCATAAATCATGTCCAATTGCATTGATCGTCAGACAGAAGTTTATGAAATTTCAGGTTTAGAACAATGACTGTGGATTTTTCAGTCATTTGAAGCTCTAACTGTCTCGCGCACAGAACAACAAAGGTTTTACTATTAAACGCCGCCGATGAACTCGTGCAAATTGCTAGAGGCGCGTCTGATTCGTCGCTTTTCCCTACCACTCACTTTTGGCCAGCTTTACAATTTCAATTGGCCTGCAGCCAGAACACACATGTTATGCGGGCGTCATTCAACTGCAGTGGTCTGCAGTGCGATACTATCGACCGTTCTTACAAATCATGCCTGACTGTTGGATGCAGTAGATCTGCTCTGGACGTACGCCAACACCATTTTTGTGTGCTAGTTTACGGTCTCTCAGTAAAATTCGGAAAAGAATTAAGCACGCCAGTTAGTTCAACCTCTAAGTGAACTACCGAGTGGACTAGGTTCAACATGCTTTTCTACGCGTAAGCAGGAAGTACGATTTTGAAGCTCCGTGCGAAAGATTTATATCACTGTATCACGAAATAATGCCTTAGGTAATATATCCGTCAATAGAAG